AACGACTCTTTGCGGCAGGGGATCGTATTCCAGGGACCTGCTCGAAACGCTACGCATACTAGTGGCTGTACAAGAATGTAACAACTCTTGTATATATCTCAAAAAAAAAAAAATTGTAATCCCATCTATGTTAGAGTACATTGCCATGAAGCTCACTTTCTTCTGTTCATTTTCTTGTCCCTTTCTTGGTGAGCATTCTACTGGTGTGGGAAGCTGTTCCGTGGGTGAGAAGATCTGTGAGGTGGTTTGCAGGGTTTCAGAGGATTTTGGGGTGGGGGGTTCAAGGGAAGGGGGGACAGGTAGGGTGTGAGTTAAGGAAATAGGGGGGACATGGAGGATACGGGGTGAGGGGGGAGGAGGGATAGGGAGGATATGGGATGAAGAGGGAGGGGAGACACGGGGGGAAAGGTGGGAGGGGGGACATGACAGGAATTGGGAAGGGGTGGTAGGGTCAGAATGGGAGTGGGGGGGTTTGGGTGGGAGCAGGTAGGGTGAGGGGAAGGGAGGGTTTCTATGCAGAGGGGGGTGGTGGTGTTGCCCTCCCCTCTGGTGTTTCTGGGATGCTGGTCTTGGGTTCCCCTCTTGTCTCTAGGACTGTTGTGTTGGGGGCTGTGATTTCCGGGTTTGCTCCTCTCTCCCTGCGCTTCCTCCTTGCCTCTGCTGCTCTGGCTCTCTCCTCCTTCGTCCTGTCCCTCTGCAGGAATACTTTTTTGTATCCCTCCACATGCTGCAGACGACTCTTCCTTTCGAGAATATCCTCCTTCGTGGTTTCGTTTGTAAACACCACCTTTACAAGTCGGTTTCTGTTCTTGTTGTACCAGCCCAACCTGAAAACCTTTAACTTAAAAAACCTGTGTGTGTGTGTGTGTGTGTGTGTGTGTGTGTGTGTGTGTGTGTGTGTGTGTGTGTGTGTGTGTGTGTGTGTGTGTGTGTGTGTGTGTGTGTGTGTGTGTGTGTGTGTGTGTGTGTGTGTGTGTGTGTGTATGTGTGTGTGTGTGTGTGTGTGTGTGTGTGTACTCACCTAGTTGTGTTTGCGGGGGTTGAGCTCTGGCTCTTTGGTCCCGCCTCTCAACCGTCAATCAACAGGTGTACAGATTCCTGAGCCTATTGGGCTCTATCATATCTACACTTGAAACTGTGTATGGAGTCAACCTCCACCACATCACTTCCTAATGCATTCCATTTGTCAACCACTCTGACACTAAAAAAGTTCTTTCTAATATCTCTGTGGCTCATTTGGGCGCTCAGTTTCCACATGTGTCCCCTTGTGCGTGTGCCCCTTGTGTTAAATAGCCTGTCTTTATGTACCCTATCAATTCCCTTAAGAATCTTGAATGTAGTGATCATGTCCCCCCTAACTCTTCTGTCTTCCAGCGAAGTGAGGTTCAATTCCTGCAGTCTCTCCTCGTAGCTAATACCTCTCAGCTCGGGTACTAGTCTGGTGGCAAATCTTTCAACCTTTTCCAGTTTAGTCTTATCCTTGACTAGATATGGACACCATGCTGGGGCTGCATACTCCAGAATTGGCCTGACATATGTGGTATACAAAGTTCTGAATGATTCTTTACACAAATTTCTGAATGCCGTTCGTATGTTGGCCAGCCTGGCATATGCCGCTGATGTTATCCTCTTGATATGTGCTGCAGGAGACAGGTCTGGCATGATATCAACTCCCAAGTCTTTTTCTTTCTCTGACTCCTGAAGGATTTCCTCTCCCAGATGATACCTTGTATTTGGCCTCCTGCTCCCTACACCTATCTTCATTACATTACATTTGGTTGGGTTGAACTCTAACAACCACTTGTTCGACCATTCCTTCAGTTTGTCTAGGTCTTCTTGAAGCCTCAAACAGTCCTCTTCTGTTTTAATCCTTCTCATAATTTTGGCATCATCCGCAAACATTGAGAGAAATGAATCTATATCCTCCGGGAGATCATTTACATATATCAGAAACAAGATAGGACCGAGTACAGAGCCCTGTGGGACTCCACTGGTGACTTCACGCCAATCAGAGGTCTCACCCCTCACCGTAACTCTCTGCTTCCTATTGCTTAGGTACTCCCTTATCCACTGGATAAGGGAGTACCACTTACCAGCTACACCTGCCTGTCTCTTCAGCTTATGTACCAGCCTCTTATGCGGTACTGTGTCAAAGGATTTCCGACAATCCAAGAAAATGCAGTCCGCCACGCCCTCTCTTTCTTCCTTAATCTGTGTCACCTGGTCATAGAATTCTATTAAGCCAGTCAGGCAAGATTTACCCTCCCTGAACCCATGTTGTCGATTTGTCACGAAGTCCCTTCTCTCCAGATGTGCTACCAGGTTTTTTCTCACGATCTTCTCCATCACCTTGCATGGTATACAAGTCAAGGATACTGGCCTGTAGTTCAGTGCCTCTTGCCTGTCGCCCTTTTTGTATATTGGGACCACATTCGCCGTCTTCCATATTTCTGGTAGGTCTCCCGTCTCCAGTGACCTACTATACACTATGGAGAGTGGCAAGCAAAGTGCCTCTGTATACTCTTTCAGTACCCATGGTGAGATCCCGTCTGGACCAACAGCCTTTCTAACATCCAGATCCAGCAGGTGTCTCTTGACCTCCTCTCTCGTAATTTCAAACTCTTCCAAGGCCGCCTGGTTTACGTCCCTTTCTCCTAGCACAGTGACCTCACCTTGTTCTGTTGTGAAGACCTCTTGGAACCTCTTGTTGAGTTCATGACACACCTCTTTGTCATTCTCTGTATACCTGTCCTCGCCTGTTCTAAGTTTCACTACCTGTTCTTTCACTGTTGTTTTCCTTTTGATGTGACTGTGGAGTAGCTTTGGTTCGGTCTTGGCTTTGTTTGCTATATCATTTTTATAACTTTTCTCTGCTTCTCTTCTCACCCTGACATACTCATCCCTGGTTCTCTGGTATCTCTCTCTGCTTTCTGGTGTTCTGTTATTCCGGAAGTTCCTCCATGCCCTTTTGTTCAGTTTCTTTGCTTCCATACATGCCCTATTATACCATGGATTCTTCTTTTGTTTCTCGGATTTTTCCTTTTGGGCCGGGATGTATCTGCTTACTGCCTCCTGACACTTTTGGGTGACATAGTCCATCATATCTTGTACAGACTTAGCTCTGAGGACTGTGTCCCAAGGTATTTCCTTTAGGAAGCTTCTCATCTCCTCATAATTTCCCTTTCGGTATGCCAGCCTTTTGTTTCCTAGTTCTTTTTCGGTGGGGATAATTCCGAGCTCTACCAGGTACTCAAAGTTCAATACACTGTGATCACTCATTCCCATGGGTGCTTCCATCTTGACTTCCTTTATATCCCACTCATTTAGGGTAAATATCAGATCAAGCATTGCTGGTTCATCCTCTCCTCTCATTCTTGTTGGATCCCTGATGTGCTGGCTTAGAAAGTTTCTTGTTGTCACGTCCAGCAGCTTAGCTCTCCATGTTTCTGGTCCTCCATGCGGGTCTCTGTTCTCCCAATCAATCTTCCCACGGTTGAAGTCTCCCATGATTAGTAGTCCAGGTCCATTCCTGCTAGCAACTGAAGCTGCTCTCTCTATTATGTTAATGGTGGCCATATTGTTTCTATCATATTCCTGTCTGGGTCTTCTGTCATTTGGTGGTGGATTATATATGACTACGACTATAAATTTTTGCCCTCCAGTTGTTATTGTTCCTATTATGTAGTCACTGAAACCTTCACATCCCTGAACAACCAACTCCTCAAAATCCCAGCCTTGTGTGTGTGTGTGCGTGTGTGTGTGTGTGTGTGTGTGTGGGGGGGGGTGTATGTGTGTGTGTGTGTGTCTGTGTATTTGTTCATTGATATATATATCACAATAATGTGATTTCTCTGTGTAATAATAGTAATTTTATACCACTCCAAACCCAACTTTATACCACTCCACACAGTTTTATACAACTTCACACATCATTTTATGCCACTTCACACATAAATTGTGAATCATTTTATGCCACTTCACACATAAATTGTGAATCAATTTATGCCACTTCACACATAAATTGTAATAATCAAATGCCTGAAATCGTATGTTGAAAAATTAAATAAAATTAAGATGTGACACCATAATACATAACAATTGTACAAATAATAGTTGCATAATCATGAAAGTAAATAAAACAGCATGCGGAAAGTGAGTCAATGTTAAACAACATTCACCAGGGTCTCATTAAGACCTTTTGTACCGCTGGAATCCTTTCGTGCAAGAGCTTCCAGGATTACCTGGGAGCCTGACGACTGAGTGGACAGTGCTTGGGACTCGTAGTCCTAAGGTTTTGGGTTCGATCCCCGGGCCACGGGGACGTTAAGCACCGAAATCATCTCAAGAAGATAGGATGAAAATTGAGTGTGCAATAAACTAATCTCTGTCAGCGGCAACAATTTACCTGACGGTCGCCGGGTAAATTGCCAGGTCACTAGAGGCTTCGACGAGGACAGGAAGCCGGTGGCTTGTCAAAGTTTCTCTCGTTATTCCTGAGGATTTTTTTCAGATGAATATTAAATTTAATTACTGTTTTGACATTTACGGCTTCAGCGGATTGCCGGTTCTATGGATTTATTGATCTGTTGGTGAAAAAGTCCTCCTGTTTTCCGTTCTCTATTGTGGCTTGTTGAGTAATATGTTGTTGCTCCTGTCTGAGTTATAATGGACCTTTTAAACAAGTGGTCTTATGTTTGACCTTCTAAAAAAGTGAGCTGGGTTTATATCTTCCAATGTGTTAAGCATTGTAAAAGTAGCCACATAATAACTGATTTGCCACAAAAAATAGTGCAACATAATGTCTGAGGTGACCACTCAATTTCAGTGTGGATTGATGGTGCGTGTGTGATGATACGTGTGGTACTGTGGAGGATTACATATTACATGAGCGGAACGTTGGGGGGGGGGGGTGGGTAACTCACTTCTCTGAAACATGTGGTATTGTGCAGGATTACATATTACATGAGCGGAACGTTGGGGGGGGGGGGTGGGTAACTCACTTCTCTGAACGATCTTCCTGCAGTAGATGGCTTCGGCACCTATTAGATGGTTCTGTTTTAGCTGGTTACAGTCGACCGTGTCGAGGGTGCTGGGGTCGAAGTGGGTCTCACCACAGCGGGGGTCGAAGGAACTATTACACTCCCAGCACCGGATCCCCAAACCTGCAATTAAATTGTATTATTAATATGTTAAACTTATATAATAATAGCATTCAGTGTCATGATTCTGAAGGCCTATTATATGGGATTGAAGGTCATTGTCCTTAAACCGTTACCTCCATTTTACTCTACATCAACAAGTTAGTCTATAATTATCGTATATTTTTGGTATCAAAGGACAATAAATTGGTGTATTAAACGTAGACGCGTTGATACCGTATCGAGATAAGAATGTAATTCCCTCAGACACATCAGTATGATCAAATATTTACCTGTATCTAACAAGGAAACGTTGGTATCTGAAAAGGTTGATTTTCCATTAGCCAAAACAAGAAATGATTTTTAAGTTAAAAACATAAGGTTAAAAATGTGAGATTTTTCGTCATGATTATTCTAGAATTACATCCGTCAACTTAAAACTGAAAGTCTAAATGGGCCTCCTGAGAAAGGACCTGCTTAGCTAACACGCTAGGTGTAGTAAACAGTTAATCCCTTACTCTAGAGACCTTAGAACAAATGACTAGGCGCGAGCAAACGCCGAGACCTCAAAAAGTTTGAGATCCTATTCACTGAGCCGTCGACCTTCGCAAATCGCCGGAGCGAATCTAACGAGTAGGTCAAGGGTTCTCACAACGTATTATTTTGTTGTGTGGTGCTATGAATTCAGCTCTAAGCTCATGAAGCAGTCTGAAATGAATAGCAATAATAATTTCAGGCAACATGGCAGAACAAATGTAAATCAATAAAGTGCAGGGGGTGAAACGAAAAGACAGCGTTTAACATAACAACATAGTTTATTCAACAAAGTACTAACTACTACAGCAACGAAAATTATCTCTAACGTTACTCGAAATCCTTCCTGTGACACCTTTACGAAAGCTAGACACAAGCCACAAATAAAACTACAGGATTCTTTCTGCAATCGCATATTGTGCAGCATAAATGAAATAACTTGAACATAATGAGTGTTCACAGGGGATACAATCAAGCAAAACATACTAATCTATAATCACTAATGCAACAACAAGGTAGGTTAGGAGACAAGTCTCCTGTAACCTTCTATATGTTACTTTACACTCTTTGCAGCTCTCCCCTGCAGTGGCAGTTGCAATGCAATTAAACTAGTAGCCTATCAATAACATTACAATGACTAATGGAGTTACTGGCAACTCCAGCAACCCTTCTTAATTAAATCCTTACGTTAACACTTCGCCTCTCGGACGATCAGCAATCAATGACTAATTGATTACGTTAATATTAAAGTAACACTTACGTTAACTTAATCTTGTCTCCCACAGACAAGTCAAACTGTACAATTGTCACTCGTAACTCGGAATTACACAAACACTTTACGCATCAAACGTTCAGTGAGAAATACCTATTAATCCCTGTACTACGGATAGCCAATTAATCCCAGCGCGAGTTACGTTATCGGTTACTATCGTCCACTCGATAGTTTACTACAATTTCTTATGTCAAACGTGCTAAGAGATCGGCAATCACCCTTGACTACTTCGAGCAATTAATTATTATCTCGAAGATCAATAATCCATTATACACAAATATGTTACCTTTCATACTGGCTCATCAATTATGACATCAACAAAATGAATTTCCTCTGGGGTCCTCCATACCCCCAGTGAACTCAGTTGACTAGATCACTATCCAACGGACCGATAACAAATCACCACGTCTATGATACTTAACAATGATTTTGCTCTCGCAAGAGTCAATCAAATTACCTGTCCAACTGACATATATTAATAACCGACGTTACATTTTTCTTTTTTGAGATATATACAAGAATTGTTACATTCTTGTACAGCCACTAGTACGCGTAGCGTTTCGGGCAGGTCCCTGGAATACGATCCCCGCCGCGAAGAATCGTTTTTACAACCAAGTATACATTTTACTGTTGAGTTAAACAGAGGCTACAGTTAAGGATTTGCGCCCAGTAAATCCTCCCCGGCCAGGATATGAACCCATGACAAAGCGCTCGCGGAATGCCAGGCGAGTGTCTTACCACTACACCTCAGAGACGTAATGCGGAGACAACGTTAATGCAACAATGCAGCCTTCGCGTGAGTCGATCAACTCTGATCGGAGTTAACTACCTTGACTTCCGTGAACCCTTAATTACCTGTCCAACTGACAGATAATATGCAACAGACAGTACTTAAATGCAAGCTTTCAGCCCTCTCGGAATTCCTACAACACTGTCTGACTTCGCCTGAAGTGGCTGCTTGGCTAGGCTCCCTGACCGACCAAAACAGCTGTTCCTTGGAAAAAAGTTAACCCAAACGTATCTTACGTTAACTCAAATTGTCTTATGGACAATTCCTTTTAAGCAATGGGTGTTCCCTTGGTTACTTTACGTTACTTTCCCTCTCAATCAACGTTCACTGAATACTGGACTTCGATGACAACCAAATATACAGAATAATAACACTAAGTACTCGGCCTACTGACGAGTTCACCCACGACACAATAAATCAACACTCGATGACCTAACACAATTACAATCCGTTTGCAATTGACAATTACTGCAGAACACCAGTAAATAACACACTTGGTGCTCTAAACCATTAGAACACAGCCCAACAGTTTATTGAACTACAGCAATAACACCCACGGTGATCTAATAACACTATTAATAATCACGGCCCAACAATCCAGTTGCAATGTCAAATTACTGAAACCACAGTAATAACACACTAGGCTTCGTGACACTATAATTATATATCGTACCTGCTGACCTCACCTGTAGTTCTCAGTTATTAAACGCTAATGTGGAACTCTAGGGAGATAACATACTCCTGATCAACTATAATTATATATCGTACCTGCTGACCTCACCTGTAGCTCTCAGTTATTAAACGCTAATGTGGAACTCTAGGGAGATAACACACTCCTGATCAACTTAGGCGATGATTAGCGATCCCAAGGATCGATAATTACATCCGTGAATTTCGTTACTCCACTGAGCTGTCAGCTGTCACTCCCGACAGCGACGTTACTCACGCTCCACCATAAATCCACCAAATTATGTTAAACAGGTCAGCCATATATATATATATATATATATATATATATATATATATATATATATATATATATATATATATATATATATATGGCTGACCTGTTACCCTATAATTATATATATATATATATATATATATATATATATATATGCGAACAAGCCTGAATGGTCCCCAGGACTATATGCGAATGAAAACTCACACCCCAGAAGTGACTCGAACCCATACTCCCAGAAGCAACGCAACTGGTAACTACAGGGCACCTTAATCCGCTTGACCATCACGGCCGTCAAAGGAAGTGATAGCCGAGGCTATTTGAGCCACTTCCCCGACGGCAACTCGGATGGTAATCTTGGGCATAGCATTTCACCAAATCACCTCATTCTTTGGGGCACACGTGAGGAACACAAATTAGTGGGAAGTGGCTCAAATAGCCTCGGCTATCACTTCCTTTGACGGCCGTGATGGTCAAGCGGATTAAGGCGCCCTGTAGTTACCAGTTGCGTTGCTTCTGGGAGTATGGGTTCGAGTCACTTCTGGGGTGTGAGTTTTCATTCATATATATATATATATATATATATATATATATATATATATATATATATATATATATATATATATATATATATATAATTACATTTATCGCAGCCTTGGAAAACACAACACTTGTACAAAAAACAGACTGGTATCGCACCACAAAATCAAGTGCCAGGAAGTCTCCCGGTTTCCTGGCGTAAGTCACACTACCATAAAATGATGACGACCGGCTTTGGTTCTCCTCTCCTGCAAAAGACTACACAAGTGAACATGGAGCATGACATGCACAATTCACCTAGAAATGTAACAACACAAAATACCATCAGAATATAGTATAAACTCTCTAGGACGGCCCTTATGGTCCTAATTTAATACACTCTGTATGCGTTCTCGTGTGTTCACACACACACACACACACACACACATACATACGTCTGCACACAACAGTTGAAGTACTCTCCTTGACTAACAAGATGTTAAATAGGTGTGAGAATCTCACGTGCTCTGCGCTTCCCTTCACCTTGCAGGTGTTCAAGGGACAATGCGGGAGGATCACCTGACCTCGAATTCAAGCTTAGAGATATAAATCACTAAATACAGCACAGGGGGTACTTACTCAATTATACGGCTGGCCCATTCGCACAGCCTACCATGCACACACATTGCTGTAATCTCTTAGAACGGCGATGACTAGGCTAGAGTAGCCTGTGTGGAGTCTCATGCGACTTGGCTCGGTTCGTATCCCCCTCCTCACTAGGCGGCTTCGCACCTGACTCAGGGTGAAGTGTGGCGCTCGTACAAAATGGCAGCAAACACGGTGAGCATCTCTGTCACTCCCTGGGACGGAAATTTCCACGAATTTCTTTCGGAAAACTGCCCTGAACACTGGCAAAATATTTTCAGATTTCTCCACTGCTAAGTGACATTAGCAGATTCAGATGAAGTCTGATTGATGACTGGAGATAGGGACTTACGACAATCTGTTGCACTCTGCTCGTATGGCTTACCCACTTCTAACTTCCGGTTAATGCACTTCCTTGACTACGGACACACGTCGATGTTGCAAGTATATGAAGATGTACTAGAAGCCACTAGAGACAGTAGTTTCACTTGGCTGGCTGACTGAGTGAAACTACGTCTGACCAGCTCAGTGACTATGGCAGAATCACATCAGGATGCCCCGGGCGGCAAGGTGCCGGCTCTACCGGTCCTTCTCAAACTAGCGAATCAGAGAGAAGCGCATCTCGCCCTATACCTCTTGGCCAATCACAATCCACTTGCTTGGCGTGCAAGGTGGCGTCCCCCAAGACGTCTGCCTTGGGTTGCCATGGGAACTGCTCGGCGTCAGCTGGTGGTACCTCACACCTTCCCTGCCGCTCGCTCTGTCTTCCTCAATCTTACAGTTATAAATGGCTACACGCTCTA